AAATTTGACTTAAGAGTACATTATCTGGTAGCTGATCAATAAAACCCATTGATTTATTTTGCACATTCAGGAGCCCTAGGTTTGATCTGTTCATTCAGGGTCAATGACTTGATTGCAATCTGCTTCAGTTTGTTCAAAATATCTGGATTTTCAAATTGTGAAACTTTGCTGAAGTAATGGAATATTTCAGATTCCACTGCTCACTGTCCTCATTGTAATAAACAGAAGGTGAGCTGTAACGACTCTTTCAAACTATGACAGGTTCATTAATGAAGTTATTTTCACTTAGAATGCCTTTACTAGCCAGGAGTGCCTGTACATGACTGTTTGGTTAATCAGGCACACGGAGTCCTCACTATACCCTAAACCCATCTGACTCCCCACAGTTTTTAAGCCAAGCTGCAGGAAAACACACCAACTCTTGAATCTTCCTATTTTCAGCGATCCTACAACTTCAATTAATTTGAAATAAGGTTTGAGAGGAAGAGAGAGGCAAAGCACTAATGTGCAAATATAAAAAGGATCATAACTGTGTAAACGAGTGTGAGAGAGATAAACCATCAGTGAAAGCAGCTGCAAATACTTAATGCTTTGGAATTTGCTAATGGACAGACAAAGAGGTCATTAATAGATGACCTTTGTACTCAATGTCTCAATGACAGCATCTTCACATTCGTGTGCTTCAATGAACAAAGATCTTCAATAAAATACAATCATTGGTATCTATAAAAAAGGAGGCAGATTAACATTGCGGATTTGGACAATTGAGAAAACTGAAAGATAATTTATTTTTTACCGTAGAGAAACGTGTGGAGTAGGCGAGGAGAGAAACAAGTCAATACCCAAATAGCCTGCATTTATGTAGCATCTTTAACACTGCAAAACATATCAAGATGCTTCACTGTGGCTTGATAAGAGATGAAACTGAGCCACGTATGACATTAAAGGATGTGCATCAAAAGTTTAGTTACAGAAGTAATTTTAAGTAGTGTCTTATGGGAGAAAAGAGCAGCAGAAATTTTTCAAGAGGGAATTGTAGAGCTTAAGATTCAAGTAGCCAAAGGCAAGGGCAGGTGAAAGCTGGTGGGTTATGCACAGAGATTGGAAATGATGAGATTTTAAAAATTCCGACCAGTTTTAATAAAGTGATTGGAGAAAAATAATTTACACTGGTTGGGAAATTAGTGACTAGGGATCACGGATTTAAAATGGGTGCAGTGAGAGGACTAGAGCAGGAGAAAATACTTTATACAGAGGGTGTTGGAACATGGAATGCCTTGCTGCATCAAACGATCAAAGCAGAGACCATGGAATATTTAATACAAAAAAGTGAATAAATATTTAAAGCTGTAGGTGATGATATAGGGCTGAGAGCACGCACAGGAATGTGTGATCAATTTTGAATTGATGGAGAGCTACTGGGAGAGAACAGGGCAATGAGAATTGAAATGGATTAACTCAAAGGGTTGGCACAGAAACATAGGGATGAATAGCCTCCAGCTCTGTAAGCCCTCATGGTTTTATGAAAGACAATGAAAAAGTGAAAGTATGTAAAAGCAGTTGGAAAAAAAAGAAAGAAAATGGTAGAAATAAAAGCCTAGTCTATTGAAGAAATCTGAAACAAAAGCAAAGTTTTGGAGACAGTCAGCCTGGTAAACAACAAAATTAAAAGCAAGTAGGTAAACCTGGTGAGACGACATGTCAGTGCCTTATCATGTCTGCTTGATAATTCACAACTATAGGGAGGAATATTATGTTTTTTTTCTTTGACTAGGTCATTAAAAACATGGTCAGTCTGGAGCTGCCCTGCACAGTTCCTGACAGGTGTCCCAACATCGCAGACAGAGGAACATCCTGCTTGGTGCTTGTAGTGACTGGAATGAGGTTAGGCAGGTGGACCTCAGAATATGGAGTTCCTGATTGGGGCTGTTAATCTGGTCCAATCAGGAAGCTCTGGCTGCACCAGGTGTGTCCCTGCCCCCAGACCAAGGTTCAAGTCCCACCTGCTCCGGAGGGGTGTAATAACATCTCTGAACAGGTTACTCAGAAACATTGGATAATTAAACAAAAATGGTTTAGAAGAATTTCAATATTTTTAAAAAAAACATTAAAGGAGTGTCAAAGGCTCTGTTCACTCAGAGCTGGGTCTGAGGGAGCTGGATCAGTGTTGAGGACTCTCCACGTGTAAATGAAGGGTGACTTGGTGAGGGGCCCCTGTGGAGTTATTTCAGTGGGCATGGAGCTGGAACTCCTGCTGGATGAGATGGTGCAGAGGTGGGGTTTCCTCATCCCCAGGACCAGCTGTGTAGGTCACAATACCAGACCATGACCAGCCTGGTCCCAGGAAGCCCCTAGGTCTGAGACATCCACAGGAATGCCCAGCAGTGGTGGAAGATGGTCAATGTCCTTTCCCACTCCACCAGTGTAGCTGCTACCATCTTCTCTCCACTACCTCACCCTCAATCTCTCTCTGCTGCTGTACTCACCTCTCACCAAGGCTCCCACTCTACCTGCCTGCAACATCTTCCCCACTCACCCCCACATACCTTAACCCCCAACACCTCTCACCCTGTATGCCCTCTGCACTGCTCTCACTCACGTGGTGCACCTCCCCACCTTCAACAGGGTGCCACCCACTTTCAGCTCCAGTAGTCCCTGCCTCTCCCTCATTCCAAAAGGAAAACAGTGCACAACAAGGCAGAAACAAATAGCTTTCAAATTCGGACTCAAACTGAATCCAGGAATGGACTCTTCTAGTTTATTTTTGGGATGACAACCCTTCCTTTCACCACCCCCAAACCCCCCATCACACACTCAAAACGTACAAGGGGTCAGATTGAGAATACAATGAGTAGCAAGACTCATCACATCAGCCAAATACCTGAGGTGTGATAGCATCACAAACAGTCCAAAGAAACTGAAGACATCAATTATTCAGGTGTTTGAGCCTCTGAGTGTATTCATTTTAGAAATGGACCCATTAAATGGAAGGAACTGACAGTGCCTGCTGTTTCAGATAGTGTGTTGAACAGCTTCAGTGTTAGGTTTGTGGGTGATGCGAGAGGAATAAGAAAAAATTGTCAGGACACATTCTAACGCTATCCTTTAAATCCTGAATTTCCAAGTCACTCCTCTCTCCCAATGCCAACTGGTTGTTCCTCAAGGACTAGCTGCATGGGAGCCAAATATGGATTAAAGATGACCCCCTGTATAAATCTATAAATTTAAAAAAAAAAAGATTTGATACGATTAGCTCTAATCATATTTGAAACACAAGAGAGGTCTTAAAACTGCCAATACTGCAGTCCCTACGTCTTCCTTTAGCAATTGGGAAGAATCTCTAGAGCTCATCAGCCAAGGACACAGACATTGAGAGAAATATTGCATCTGAAAGCAGACCAAACAGCAACATCTGCAGGAGCTTTTACTTGAGGGCAGACATCAATAACTTGCAACCGTAACTGAAGCAGACCCCCTCTAGTACACCACGCACTAAATTAGACCAAAACTAACTAGACCTAACAAGGCATCCATTTTCCAACACAATGTCATGTCATGCAATAAACATCCATGGTCATCATTTCACAAACTTGCACAGAATCTTTTGTGCAGGTTTCATACCAATGGACTAGACAGAAGTATTACAGTATTTTCTGTTTGCGCAGTTAACCCATATATTTGACAAAGGGTCACCGTGGTGTTTAAGTTGTGGTGTATAGATTGGTGTTCCCTTTTCAAGTCCTGTGTCCTAGTACCGACGAGTGCAAGACACAACGCATTGAGATCAGGCCTCCTTGTTGCAATGATTAACTCGTAACCTATGTATGAATGATTAAAATGGAGGGAGGGATGGAAGTGGAATAGTAATTGCATCCAATTGTATAACAGAATAACAGAGCCCTGAGCATTTGCAGGGAGTAACCTGTATCTTCTTGAATAACTGTTCTATAATAATTATACACAGATGCAGTGACCACCACTCAAACTCCTTACTTTGCTGATATTAGAAGCATACAGCACAATACAAGAGGATGCATGAACTCAAAATATGATCTTTGTCGGGGTTTGAGCTGCTGATATTGAGTGAAATGCAATTAAAACAAGGATCTGTTGCAATAATTGAGTCATGCACAATTAAAAACTTGGGTGAACCCACAAAACATCTGAAATAAAAATCTTTTAAAATACCCCGCAGCCCCATTATCTTGGTGCAGTGATTAACATTTCATAACCCCTCAGTAATGAAAATGTCAGTTCTTGAAAGCCTTAGGACCACATTCTGAAGTTATGACATGTTATCTCATACCATCCCCTTTATACGATTCTGATACATCAAACCTGACTGATCCGTTCGCTCCCTGTACAGATGGTACAAAATAGACCTCTTGCCCTCGCTCATGCTTGCTCTTTCAGAGACAATAAAGTGCCCACTTCCTTTGTAATCCTGACAGATTGGCTAGTGTCTGGCCATTCTTTTCCTCAATTCTGAATTTACACCTTGTTTGTTGACCATTTCACGTACAATTGTGTACTTTACTCTCACTTCTAATCCTTGATCTAATAAAAGATGGAGACGAATGGTCATATTATCTCATTTGCCATTCAGCGTGCTAAGTTACTCAAAATAAAGTGTGTATCCCTGACTCCCTAAACCCTCTGCACCGTTCTGCAAGAGTTGAGACAGTTATTGTCTGTACAAGGCAGAGGTCTCAAAGCATTTTGCACCTTCTGATTCTAACGTTCATTCTTTTTCCATCTACTCGTTAATGATGAGTGAATGACAGTTGCATCTGGCAATTGGATTTGTAAAATTAAACTAAGGTGAGAACAGCTCCATGACAGATGAGAGGACAGAACAGTAAAGTGCTTAGATTCAGCAAGGAAGTATTTAGATCCCCGCACCACACACCAATCATGCAATTATGGATTACTGCAAAGATAGCAGGTTCAAGATTAGCAAGCTTCTGTTAATAAAGATTTTTCCACAGGCCCCATCCTACCTGTAATGTTGACCTCAACCAGACCCGACCGTGTCCCAATTGCATTTGTAGCTTCACAGATGTACGTCCCAGCGAGGTCATAGGTCACAGTCCCTTTGAAGAACAGGGTTGTGTTCTGTGGTTCCACATTTACAGGCAATGAACCGTTTAACCTGTAAAAATAAACACACTGCCATCTCAACAAAGATCAAAGCTATTAAAGCATTCAAAACAGTGTTTTCTCATCTGAGGCACCAGAACCTAAATTCAGCTCAGATGGAACAGATTAATGTCTCCTCCATCTGACAGTGACACAAAGGAATGGATTGATTTGAGTGATCCTCCATATGGGACATGTGGGTTTGAGCCCAGAAGCAGGTAGCATATTCCTCATTTCAGGATTGAGCTCAGTGTTAGCAAGTGATACACCAGTCAAGAAAAACTACTGGCAGTGCGTGAGGGGCCAGAATGCATCGCATTACATTGCCACTCGTTTGGTGCCAGAGTGATAGTAACCACTTTCAGACAGCCAGGGAAATACCAGCACTATCACAGATTCCCAGGGAGATAACGGATCACAGCAGCATCATTAGACTGCTAGAGAGAGACACTAGTCCAAAGAAATACCACCAGACAGCCCGAGAGATACAAGGCCAGTCACTTTTCATTTTGTAATATATTTTTATCACTTGTGTCACTGAATTGTCTTTTACTGCTTTTATTAAAGAATTTATTTGAAGGCCTAGCCTCTCACAAGACTTACACTCAATACATTTATCTAAACTGCGACACTAAGCTGAGTTTGAATATTGCAGTGTGAACACGGGCAGTATTAATTCACCTGCACTATAGAAATATTATCTGTCTCTCTGTACCCAATCAGTTTTCTAGATTACTTCAAGAAAAATTCAAGGTCAAATTTCAAATGTCTATTAAAGTTTATTCTGAGGTTCTTTTTAAACAGAGGCTTACACACATTTTAAAAAAAGAGGTAAACATGCTTAGACAACAAGGTGTAAAGCTGGATGAACACAGCAGGCCAAGCAGCATCAGAGGAGCAGGAAAGCTGATGTTTCGGGTCTGCACCCTTCTTCAGAAATCAACATGCTGTTTGCATATCGTTGAATTTGCTTTTTGTCACTAACTTTAGAAAGCATTAAGTACCGAGAGAACTTTAGTAGGTTTGTTAAATCTTTGAAGGCAGTGCAGGTACCTAATAAAAGTAAAATACTGCAGATTTCGAAAATCTTAAATAAGCATGGACAATGCTGTAGAAACTCAGTAGGTCTGGCAACGTCTGTGGAGAGAGAAACAGGAGTTAACGTTGAATCCAGTGACCCTTGTTCAGAAACTTCAGATTTTTTTGTTGACTGTTTCTCTCCACAGATGCTGCCAGACCTGCTGAATTTCTTCAGTATTTTCTGTGCTTGTTTCAGCTTTCACCTAATTTTTGTTGGAACTCCTCATACATTTATGTTGAGAAATCCCAATTTCTAACAGCTGCATACAGAGTGTGATCGAGGGCATATGCCATATTGAGTTGATGAATGACTTGAATTAACTCTCCTCTTTGGAGTGTGTTCTCTATGTTAACTACTTATCTGAAGACTTGGACCAACGTGGGTATCTGGGGGGAGTGGAGAGGTGGCCTTGCATTAATCACCAGCCCTGTGCTTGACTTATTTTTCTCATTCCTTTATTTAAAATTAAGGGTTTGCATTTGTCTCAATGCATTCCTTTCAACTCTAAAATGAGTTTCAATCAATCACACATATTGTCCATCATAAACAATTGTTAATTCCAACTCCTCAGGAAGGCATACCGCTGGTGCACTGTTTCTGCCAGAAATGGATGTGAAACACGTGAATACTGCACTTCAGATAGCAACCAGGAATCAATAACAGTGTCCAGATAGAGTCAGAGTTGGACAGTATGGAAACAGACCCTTCGGTCCAACTTGTTCATACTGGCCAGTTATCCTAAATTAATCAAGTCCCATTTGCCAGCATTTGGGCCATATCTCTCTAAACCCTTCCTATTCATGTACCCATCCAGATGCCTTTTAAATGCTGTAATTGTACCAGCCTCCACCCACTTCCTCTGGCAGCTCGTTCCATACACGTGCCACCTTCTGCGTGAAAAAGTTACTCCTCAGGTTCCTTTTAAACCTATGCACTCTAGTTTTGGACAACCCCTATCCCAGAGAAAAGGACATGGCTATTAATCCTATCCATGCCCCTCAAAGGTCACTCCTCAGCCTCTGATGCTTCAGGGAAAAAAACTGCAGGCTACTCTGTAGCTCAATCCCTCCAGTGCCGACAACATTTTTGGACAGTTTGAGCTTCAGACAGCAGTATCATCCTCTAAAGAAGGCTGCTACATCCCCAAGGATTGGATATCACTGCAGTTTAATTGAGTTGGTGCTGGTTTCTGTAATCCAGAGTAGGAAACGTCAATGGAAGAGATCAGAATGGAATCTAGTCCTGCCCATCCAGTGACCATATGAACAAGGAAAAAAAGAGTAGGTCACTCTGTGCTTACTCCACCATTCACCAACATCATGGCTGATCCAATTTTATCTTCAACCCTTTTTCTGTTACCTCCTCAATAATCACCCTTTTGGTCACCAAAAATCTATCGACCTCTGCCTTAAAGATATTGAAAGATTCTGCATCCACTGCCGAGGAAAGAAATTCCAAAGACTCATAACCCTTTGAGAGAAATAAATGTTTCCACATCTCGGTCTTAAATGAGTGTCCCCTTATTTTTAAACTCCGACCCCCCGTTCTGGATTCTCCAACAAAAGGGAACATTCTGTGAACATCCAACTGGTCAAGTCCCTTCAGGACCTTTTATGTTTCAATTCAGTCATCCCCGACTCTTCTAAACTCCAGAAGATAAAGGTCCAGCTTGTCTAACCTTTCCTCATTTGGCAAACACCCAACCTGGTCCACTGCACCCTTTTCTCTTCAAGCCAGAGGGTGATTGGAAAGAGGAACTCTGACTAATTTTCTCTCTCTCATCTATGTGACCATTCCTGGCTTTCTAAAAAACATTTGCTCACTGGGGATCACTCGCTGGCCCAGCATTATTGTCCATCCTTAAGTGCCCTTGGAGAAGGTAGTGATGATGTAGTTTCTTGAAGCATAGGGCAGCACCACGATCTCAAGAGGAGAGGACTCAGCTATACAGAAAGGATAGCAATGTGGTTCCAAGTCAGGATGGAGTATGGCTTGGAGGGGAACATGCAGGTGGTGATATTCTCACATATCAACTGCCCTTGTCCTCCTAGAGGGTATATGTGTGGAAGGCACTGTCAGAGGAGCCTAGGTGAGCAGCTGTAATACATCTTGTGGATGGTATACACTGCTGCTACTGTGCGTCGATGGTGAAGGGAGTGACTGTTGCAAGCAGTGGATGTGGTGCCAATCAAGCGGGCTGCTGTGTCCTGGATTGTGTCGAGCTTTTAGAATGTTGTTCAGCTGGATCCATCCAGGCAAGTGGGAAGTATTTCCTCACACTCCTGCCTTGTGTCTTGTCAATGCCAGAAGGGCTTTGGGGAGTTAGGAAGTGAGTTACTCCCTGCAGAATTCCTAGACTTTGGCTTGTTCTTGTAGTCGCTGTATTTATATATAGTTGGTTCAGTTTAGTTTTTCATCAACGCTAACTCCCAGGATGTTGACAGCATGGGATTAAGTGACAGTGATACCACTGAATGTCAAGGGGTGATGGATAGATTCTCTCTTGTTGGAGATGGTCATTGCCTGGCATTTAAGGCATGAAAGCTACTTGCAATTTATCAGCCCAATCCCTAATGCTGACCAGGTCTGACTGTATTTGGGCATGGACTTCTTCAGGACATGAGGTTCATAAGATATAGGGGCAGAATTAGGCCATTTGGCCCATCAAAGTCTCCTCCACCATTCGATCATGGCTGATATACTCCTTACCGCCATTTTCCTGCCTTCTCCCCTAACTCTTCAACCCATTACCAATTAAAAATCTGTCTAACTCCTCCTTAAATTTACTCATTGTCCCAGCATCCACCGCACTTTGGGGTAGCAAATTCCATAGACACACAACCCTTTGGGAAAAGTAGCTTCTCCTCAACTGTTTTATATTTGCTACCCCTTATCCTAAGACTATGACCCCTCATCCTAGAATGACCCACAAGAGGAAGCATCTGCTCCACGTCTATTTTATCTGAACCTTTTATCATCTTGAATACCTCAATTCAATCTCCCCTCATTCTTCTAAATTCCAGAGAAATCACGACTGGTGCTGAACATTGTGCAATCAGCAGTAAACATACAATGCAGTGAAGGTCACTGATGAAGTAGCTGAAGATGGTTTGGCTGAGGACACTATCCTGAAGAATTTCTGCATTTAAGACCTGGAACTGAGATGAACATAAGAACTAGGAGCAGGAGTAGGCCATCTGGCCCCTCGAGCCTGCCCCGCCATTTAATAAGATCTTGGCCGATCTTTTTGAGACTCAGCTCCACTTACCCGCCCGCTCACCACAACCCTCAATTCCTTTACTGTTCAAAAATTTATCTAGCCTTGCCTTAAACACATTCAGCGAGGTAGCTTCAACCGCTTCACTGGGCAGGGAATTCCACAGATTCACAACCCTTTGGGTGAAGAAGTTCCTCCTGACCTCAGTCCTACATCTGCTTCCCTTTATTTTGAGGCTATGCCCCCTAGTCCTAGTTTCACCTGCTAGCGGAAACAACCTCCCTGCCTCCACCTTATCTATTCCCTTCGTAATCTTATATGTTTCTATAAGATCTCCCCATTCTTCTGAATTCCAATGAGTATAATCCCAATCTACTCAGTCTCTCCTCATAATCCAACCCTCTCAACTTTGGAATCAACCAAGTGGATCTCCTCTGCACCCCCTCCAGTGCTAGTATATCTCTTCTCGAGTAAGGAGACCAAAACTACACACAGTACTCCAGGTGTGGCCTCACCAGGACCCTATACAGCTGCAGCATAGCCTCCCTGTTTTTAAACTCCATCCCTCTAGCACTGGCGGACAAAATTCCATTTGCCTTTTTAATTACCTGCTGCACCTGCAATCCTACTTTTAGCGATTCATGCACAAGGACACCCAACTCTGCTGCAACTCTTTACCATTTAAAACATAGTCCATTTTGCTGTTATTCCTACC